CGTAAATCATATAAATGGACTCAAAGACAAGAACCACATGGTCATCTCAATAGATGCAGAGAAGGCCTTTGACAAAATTTAACATGCATTTATGTTCAAAGTCCTAGAGAGAATTGGACTGGAGGGAACATACCTCAACATAATTAAAGCCGTATTTAACAAACCCACAGCCAACATCATTCTAAATGGAGAAAAACTGGAAGTATTACCATTGTAATCAGGAACCAGACAAGGCTGTGCACTATCCCCACTTCTCTTTAACATAGTACTTGAAACTCTTGGTAGAGCAATAAGACAAGAGGAGGAAATCAAATTCTCCCTTTTTGCAAAAATTCCACCCGAAAACTCCTAGAAATTATTAACATGTTCAGTAAAGTGGCAGGTTACAAAATTATCCTACAAAAGTCTATAGCCTTTCTTTATACCAATAAAAAGCAATCAGAGAAAGAGCACATGGAAACACTCCCGTTCACAATAGCTGCAAAAAATAAAATAAAATATATTGGAGTAAACCTGACCAAAGACATGAAAGAGCTCTACAATGAAAATTTTAAATCTTTAAAGAAAGAAATTGGGGAAGACATCAGAAGATGGAAGGACCTCCCATGCTCATGGATTGGAAGAATTAATGTTGTGAAAATGACCATCCTACCAAAAGTCATATATAGATTGAACGCAATACCAATCAAAATCCCCATGACATTTTTCACCGAATTGGAAAAATCTATCCTAAGATTCATATGAAAGCACAAAAGACCTCGGATAGCCAAAACGACCCTGAGCTCTAAGAGCAATGCCAGGGGGATTACTGTACCAGATTTTAAGCTGTGTTACAGAACTATAGTCATAAAAACAACATGGTACTCACACAATAATAGACTGATAGACCAATGGTACAAAATTGAAGACCCAAATATGAGTAAATGCAATTTCAGCTACCTGATATTTGACAAGGGGGCCAAGAACATTAGCTGGAGGTAAGACAGCATGTTCAGCAAATGGTGCTGGCAAAACTGGCTCTCCACTTGTAGAAGAATGAAACTAAACCCCTATCTTTCACCCTGCACAAAAGTCAATTCCAAATGGCTCATAGACCTCAGTGTAAAGCCTGAAACTCTGAAACTATTAGAAGAAAACATTGGGAAAAACCTACACAATATAGGCATAGGAAAGGATTTTCTAAACCAGACATCAATTGCTCAGGAAACCAGGGCAAGAATTAACAAATGGGACCTCATTAAACTAAAAAGCTTCTGTACATCAAAGGAGACAACCAAGGAAGCAAAAGTAAACCCACAGAATGGGAGAAAATCTTCACCAGTGACACATCCGACAGAGGTTTAACAACCAGTATATATATAACGAACTCAAAAAACAGAGAACTAAGACAGGAACTAACTGAATTAAAAGATGGGCTAAGGAGCTGAACAGAGAGTTCTCAAAAGAAGTAGTAAGATGGCTATGAAACATCTTAAAAGATGTTCAACATCACTAATAATCAGGGAA